CACCCCCGGGCTGACCGCTGGCAAGGGGTTGCCTGACACCTCCAGCTCCGTGAGGCTGGGCAGCCCCCGAAAGGCGCCAGGCTCCAGCTCCTGGATGTCATTGTTGAGGAAGACCAGCTTGGTGAGGGTGGTGCTGGAGCCCAGGGCCCCGCTGCGGACGCTGTTCAGGGCTGTCTCCACGAAGAAGAGCTGGGTGGCGTTCCCCGGCAGGCCTGCTGGGATCTCCCGCATCCTTTCCTCCGAGCAGAAGACTTTGGAGGTGTCATAGCACTGGCAGGTGGGGGGGCAGGGCAGGGGCAGCCCCCCCACCAGCAGGGACCGCAGCCCCAGCAGCGTGTAGACCACCAGCCTGCACTGGAGAAGGAGCCGAGCCTCATCCCCCGCCTCTGCAGGGCACAAATCTGCACCCGCAGGCGGGTGCTGCTGGGGAAGCGGCTTTTGCAGCCCGAAACGCAGGGGAAGAAGCCCTGGGGTACTGCCAGCGTGGGCAGCTGCCTGGGCCATAGGACATCCCTCCAGCCCTGGACCCCCACACCACCCCAGCACTCCCCTTGTGGGAATGGGGAGTGCTTCCCTCCCAAATCTCTCCCCGCCTGCCCCGTGCGGTGGGTCGGGGCTCTTCCCCTGCACCCCAGCCCTGCTCCAGCTCGCCCTGTGACAACCAGAGTGGTGCCACCCTTGCCGACAGTCCCCATGTCCTGCAGAGCAGCAGCCTATGTGGGAGCTGTGGGGTCCCGCGGTGGTCTCAGGGGAACCCGCAGCCTCACGAGATGTCTCTGTGGGCATGGACCTGGCCACTGGGGCAGGGGAATGTGTGAAGCACGGGGATGTGCGGCACACACTGGGTGACGGGGACAACGCTGCAGGGCTGCTCTGTGCTCAGTGACAAAAGGAGTGGGCTCCACTTGTTGTGTTTCTAATTGCCCATCAAGCACTTCTTTCTCTACAAGCAACCAGAGCTGCATCAAACCTGCCCGAGGGATATTTGGCTTGACCAAATGCCTGTTCCCAGCCCACGGGAGGCACTTTTTGACCACCTGGGCAAAGCCGTGGCCTCCAGACCTCCCCCCCGTCCCTCCCGACTCAGGACACATGCCAGTGCTGCCGGGTGATGGCGGATGCTGCCTGCCCCACGGCAATGCCCACCTGCGGACACCCTACACAAGTGGGGGTATCCTGGACTTACACCAGTGCTTGAGAGCAGTGTTGGGCTTGGCTTTTCCTTTCCACCATCTCACTTGTTTTCACGCAGAGCCAACGGCAACTCTCACCTGTCCCGGGCCCTCCCAAACCACCTGAGCAGCGTGGCCGCCACTTACCGAGCACGGCATCGCGGGGACCGCCACCAAGCCTGCAGCGGGTTTGCAGCGACGCCGCTCAACGAGATGGGTCGATGTTTTCTGGGGCGGATGGGAAGCCGGCCGACAAGCTGTTCCTGCTGGGGCGGAGCTGCCCCTCGCTGCTTATCGGCAACAACAACCCGTGTCCTTGGAGCGCTTCAAAAAATAACCCAATCCCAGAGGGACTGGAGGTGAGGCCAGAGGCAGCTGCCAGCGAGCATCCTGGCAGGGAAGCGGGGTCCCGGCCCCGGACATCCACTGGCCCTGGGAAGGTGGCAGGGCGCTGCTGTCACGGGTGGCACCGGTCCCACACCGAGGTCAGCACGTTTGCTTGCAGCAGCCCCCCAAGAGCCCCCCTGGACTTTATTAAATTTCAGTGGGGAATGGGGCTAGCAAACGTTTTTTGCATGAGAGAGGGGACCAGGCGCAGCTTAGCAAAGCAAAGCAATGCCATGGGGAGGGGATCACCCTGGGACCATCACGCTGAGATGCACCAGGTGCTTTGCAGCCTGGGACATGCACCCAGCCAGTGGTGGGATGGCCAAAGGGACCCGTGGGCCAGCTGGACTCCCAGGGAGCTTGCGCCCTGCCCGGGGGAGCAGCATACACCACCTTAAGGGCTGCCCTGCAAGGGCCTGTGTTGGAATGGGCTGGGGTGGCAGCGGCCATAGAGGCACCCCCAGGGGCAGGAGGAAGGACACTTACGTGCGTTCAGCTGGACCGATGGAGCAGATGGTTGGCACACGGAGAAACTCCGCTGACACAAGCCAGCGGCAGCCAGCTCTGAAGGGAGTCAAGTGAGCTCCCCACCACCCCGGGGTGGAGCTGGGGAAACCCTTGGGGCCCTGCCCCAGGGAGAGGACTGCGCAGGAGGCAGTTGGTGTCTCCATTGAGAAGCTCGCCCAGGTCTCATCTCACTCTCCAAAAGCCATCCTGCTGCTGTTGGATGGCTGAGCCCTCCTGGGTCCCTCACCCCACATCAGAAAAGCCCACTAACCCTCTCCCAGCCCCACCAATCTGTATGGGCTTTTCCTCAACATGAAACAAAAAAATCTTCGCAGATGAAATCAAGCGTGGCTCCCGTCCCTGCTGGGTCATTCCCCGGCTGCGCACCGCGGAGGAGCAAATGAACAGCTCTTGGCACTGGGGCTGGACAACTGTGCTTTAATGGAGAGGTCACAGAGCAGCACCCAACAGCCCCGCGGCACAGTCCCGTGTCTCCCGCCACCATGCAGGTCCCAGCCCGGAGGAGCATTCCCATCATGTGCACAAGCGTGGGGCTGCTTGTCCCAGCACTGGCTCCTGGGGTGCTGTGAGCAGCCAGCACCATGGGGCGCACACCA